GCACTTTATAAAATTTTACTACAAAAAGAGACTCTTTCGCCATTATCGGTATCAAACGGATTGGCCTACACAAACCGATATGTGGTCCATACAAATTTCATTTCAAACTAGACGCAAACAAATCTCTTAATAGGTTTGACATTAATCTAAATAATCATTTACAATAATATATTTGTAATACTTAACTTTGGAAACGGGAATAGGGAAATACTTTGGCTGCAAATGTTTTGACGTCTCCTAGAAAAGAATTGGCAGGATAGGGTCAGCTTCGGCCTGGTTCCCAAAAATTGCGAATGGTTATTCAAATTTCCCAGCATTATTGACAAAATTAAAAGTATTAAACAATTCTTTTCTTGCTAATCAATCCCCGAGGGTCGGAAATGTGAAGATTTATGACTGTCTCCTACGATTGACTTTCGATAATTATCTACTGTCTTTGTGAAGTGGCTACCTCAGACGGACGGAAGAGCCAAAAAACAATGCGAATCTATGTCAGTTCAAATCCCATCAGGAGGTCAGTTAGCCTGGTCAGAGGGACTTCGTAGATAATGGTCGGGGTGGGGGTCGGAATTGAGTGTATTTCGACAAGGAGAGAGGGAGCTAGAGCAGGAGAGATATGGTTTAACGATATAGTGATAGATTAAACCTTTGCACGATAACAAAAACTATCAAAGAGGTTAAAAGAAACATACTAGGCGGCTTAACATGTCTAATTATGTAGATATTTATGTTGGTTATTCGTTAGGCCTACACAAAACCAAGTATTTAAAGATTTATCGAAGAGCAGTTGAAGAAGTTGAAAACTGTTTCTTGATACGATTTATTGAGAATAACGATGTACAAACCATGATAAATTATCAGGTTCATGGTTGAGTAAGATATACTCTACATTACTCAATCATATTTTAATGAGTTCCGAGTGTTGCGATACATCATTAAAAAGGTTCCAATTTGTCTTATCTTCAAGGAAATAGTTTACAATATTTGCAAGACGTGGAGAAGTTAATTACCCTATATATATATATTCTTGTTTTGTTCACGGAGATAATTAAAGATATGTGCAAAGGATTGCCCTGATTTTGGAATTGGGGTGGGGGGGGGGGGGTTGGGAGGAGAGGTGAGGGTAAAAGGTTAGTGAAAGCTGAAAGACGTCAAGAAGCTCTTAACGGTTGTCTGCGGGAAGAAAGATAATGAGGACTGTCTCTTGACAGAAAAATTTAGGCTAGGATCCAGGACAACCCAATTTTTACCTCATCTTTATGAAAATGGTTACATTAAAAAAAAAAACCTTCGGATTCCTCTTAAACTTAGAATATAGCCTAGATGAGGGATTATAGACAGTGAGAGCCATAGGAAATCTCCTAAAGAACTCTTTGAACAAATAAGTAATTTGCTGGTAGGTTATAGTAAATTTAAGGTTTTACAACAAATAAAGATAGGGGTATTGAGCATGGAGTATAAGCTAGCAAAGGGTGTGCGGTGGGGGTTCTTGGTGATTTGAAATCAGACCAAATCGCGAAAAACTGAACGCGACTTCCCGCTAATTTGGTGAAATGTAAACAAACCGTGTCCACTTTGGACGCTCAGTGAGAGATGTCTCTGAACAAAGATAGAGGTCACTCGAGGACACCCAACATCATCCAATCAGAGAGCCGTGAAGAGAACCCCTGATCCAATCAGAAAGTTCATTGTATGACAAGATATTACATGCTCCATTTATATCTTAGCAACACACTTACTTTCCGCGTTGTGTGAAAGTACTTCCAAAGACAACCTAGACTTTGTTTTAAATCATTATATTTTGCATGATGGAAATACCAGTCTATGAAGATTAGAGCGCATACTACTCATAAAGCTTCTTGATCATTTTGCTCAGTTTCTACCTTAAACAATCGACCGAACATGAAAGACATAAGATAAATAGAAAACATCACTGTTTTACTTCTACTTCTCCCTTTGTCATGTTGATCAATATTTGGGCTTCCAGCAATTATGATGAAACAGAAATAAATTGTAACAAAACATGGAACACCTCACGTCTCTAGACCTGATATGAAATCTGACAGGTCCACCCTTACCTACCGAGATTGTTTTGACCCTAAATTAACTACCACTTTGTAAAACCAAATAGTAAGATAAAACCTTTAAACGAGAATAAGAGAACAAAACATGAAATAAAACACAGCTGTAAATACTCCAACATATCGGAATATATTTTTTCATGCTGTGTATGATGTTTTTCAGTAACACTTTATAATTATTCAGGCGTTACAAGATTAAAGGCTGCTTTAGCCTTTACGATGATGGTGATAACACCAAGACGCAATCCCCAACCGATGTGGTTAACTATTCTGACTTTCTATGTTTTATTTTCATTACTTTTGTTATACAAGTACATGTGTATTAATTGATGTACTTTTAATGATCAGTGCAGTATTATTAAAGCAAAAAGTGAATGAAAAATATGGTAAAGCTGTGATTGCTTGCGCTTCCTACATTAATATAATATAATGGTAGGCAGCATTTATTCTCTATTTCTCCTATAGTGTCACCGTGGGGTAATTGCGCGTGAGCAGCTGTTCTCATTCAAAGTCTATAAAGCATAATTCATTGTTTTTGAAAGAAATGATTGACAGATATTCAAAAGCACTTCACGAATCCTCTCACTATCATAACAAGACTCTCACACTCGCTAAGCATCTATCATTCAATTTCCCAAACCATTAAAACAATAATGGTAAAATCACTTTAACCGCTTATCGCTTCGATATATATATATTTGGATCTTGGCATCGAGCCAAATATTGTGAGTTCACCATCTCAAAATGTAATTTATTCCTCCCCACCTTAAAGGATTATTAAGGCCTATACTAAATCATCCTAAATTTCATCGGCTTGATGCTGGATTGCTAACAAACTTTTGAAAAAGTAAAAACAAAAACTATCTCTCCAAATATGAAGGCCCTATAGCTATTCTTCATTTAAATGTCTCACCCAAAATTTAAAATTCGATTTGTCATACCCCGAATAAGCAAAGTTCTTTCACCTAGTCAAGCCCTTTAAAGAGAGGCTAATACAAGCCGGTACCACCTGCGTGTTATTTGGATTTGTCTTAATGTAGTGACATGCAGAGAGGAGGAGAGCGGAGCGCGCATTACCGCGCTCGCTACTGGTGTTGACATTTCGCTGCGTCTTACATCGCTTTACTAAGTAGGTTCCTTCCGATGTATTCATTGCACGGAAGGATGAATCAGTCGGGGCGTCAGCGAAACGTCTGAGTAGTGTCAAACTATGGCCATCTATGTTATGACAGCACAATAAAAGCAAAGTTGTTCAAAACAGATTTTGGTCAATGACTTTGAAAAATAGAAAATACACGAACCTGCGCACCAAAAATGGGTCATAAGGTTATAAAATATATTAAATTTGACACCTCTTATAATCTGTAATTTGTAATCTGTATTTTTCAGATATTTGTGATTATAAAGTTTTAACTTTGATCTGAAAGTTTGAGAGATCTTTTTATAATTTTTATACAATATCCCTTTTCACTTTCAAGGATAATTAGTTACCAGGGTTACGGAAATTATTTTCAAAAATTTGCTTTAAAAAAAAAAAAATCGCATATGATGCACACAATTTTCCGTTCGCTGTTTATCAAGTTCAATTCAAGTTCAATTTATTTCTCCACAAATGCAAAAAATAGGGAGCTACATAAAATATAATACATACATACAATACAATAATAGAACATGTACATCATATATAAAACGACTCCAGTTGGAGCAATGTATGTTTTAAAAAGAAAAAATAGCAAATGTGGTAGGTCAAAGGGGTAGTAAAAAATCAAAAATAATTTGTTGAGGACTACCCCCAATAATAAAAAAAATTATACAATTAAAACTTAAAAGTAAGTATAAGGTAGAATGATGAGGTGGTACCAATAACGAGAAGGAAGAGGGAGAAAAATATCAAAGACAGGGGAGGGGGAGTAGGCCAGTAGGCCAGTAGGCTTTCTAGAGGGCTTTTTGGTGTTTTTTTGCGAGGCACATGAACAAAAAACATGCAACAAAACACCTATTCCCCCAGCCCCCAGAATTCTACGTATAGAACCGCTCCTGTGTTATACATTAATTAGTTTCACATGACAACAGCACTTTCATTATTACAGTCCAAGGCCATTGTGACTTTTGTGAGACTGATTTTCATATCACAAACTAGGTCGGCCCATCCTTTGAATCAATGGCGTTAAACTTTGAACGTTTCCCTGAATTTTTTATTAGGCTAAAACTTTGTTCAAATTGACATTGGTGATAATGTTAGAAGTAGGACAATCTTGTTATTCTATTTCAAAGCCCACTTTCTCCGAAGCATACTTTTTGTTTTGGTGGGTGACGTGGGTCACATTTACTTTCTGCCTTTCTATCCTTATATCTTCTGTCTCTCTCGCTGTCTTTCGATCTTTCGTAGTCGGTCTATAAAACCCTTTCACCTAATATATGTCAACATTTATCAGGTTAGATATCTAAAAGAAAAATATTATCTTTCAAAAAAATTATAATAAAGAAGGTATATCACAGACTTGCCGGCTAAAAAGCAAATTCGTCAGAAATCAGGAAAAAATATTTAGGAAATAAAGAATATGTAGACAGGATATTTTCCTAACTTAAACAAAATAGAAACAAACACAGAAACAAACAAGCAAACCAAAATAAACAAATACGAAATATATATATGATACAAAAAAGACAAAAAGCAAAAGATCCAAAAAATGGACCTCAAATATATATATATGGGAACAGAAAGTGATTTAATATTCCGTATAAATCGAACTCTTAACAAATTACCCATGGTTAATATAACAACGTTATCAAGGTTTCATGAATCAACGGTGAATAAATGAGAATACCCATTACCCCTTTGAAAAACAGCTTATAGCTGACAAGAGCAATCCATCCCATGAGTGGAGAATAAATAAATAAAATAAAAAAAATACTTACCGATAAGCTGATTTGGTACAATCTTTATGCTGTAATTGACCGTATAGAGTACGAAGCTGATAGTTACACCATGGTGCTACTGTGCGTTGTATATACATTTCTGTGCCATTGCGAACATTACATGTGATTTGTTTCGTTCTCTTAAATTCACACCAATTTCCAGTCCTGTTAAAAAGATAAAGATTTGGAAACAATCGGTTACATTTCAGTTGTTAACAACTTATAACCAACAAAGACAATACATAATTCCCAACAAACCCATACGTAGAAACAGAGATGAATGTAGATATGAAGAAAAGAGCAGTTTCCAAAAGAAATTCAGTTATTTCAGCTTTTCATAAAATGGTGTCAATAAATTTATTACTAAATCAGTTAAATATTTACAGGGCAAATGCTAGAAAGACATGAGGAATGATTAATGTTGGAATAAACATGTATGTAGCTTCAAGGTTGGGATGATTCCTTCAACATTTTTTTTCTAAGAAATAACTTAACATATTAAGTTCAAGTTTATAGATCTGCTCGGATTTTCGTCTCTTCAATTTGACACAGATTTCTTTTATTTTCCGTATTATATAAACGTCCGTTTAAAATAAAAAATGATTGGATTATTGTCAAGCTATCTTCAGACTCGTATAATGATATCTGTTTTCGCTGAACAGTTGCACCACATCCTTGGCTTCAATGAAAAGAATGCAATGGAAGGGGGAAGCGAGCAAGTGATATTGATCCTTGTTTCCGATTTTGATCCTGACATGTCCACCATTGAACACGTGTAGCACGGTAGCATCTCAATCAACATCAAACACCTTGCATCCTATATACTAGAAATAGGATGAAGAGGAAGAGAAGGAGGACGCGTCTCGAGACTCTAAAGTTCATCAATCAAGGTTAAAGCCCATGTTTTCAGCATTGGATCAGAAATCACTACAACGGGATTTTGAGTTTTATTTCAGGCACCAATTTGAGAGCAACATAAAGCATTCATCATAATTAAGTGACATAAGATAGGATTTTATGAACATAATATTGATTTATTAAAAATACAAAGAGATTATAACAAAAGCGTGATTTCAATCGAATTTTTTTATTATTATTATCAATTTGACTTAATTGCTAAATTTCAATTTTAATAACAATAATCCTCACTCTCCCGATCACACGCCCAATTTCATCTGCTATACAAGGAGAACACGAGCTGACCCCCCCCCCCCCCCCCCACGTCGTGATTTGAAGCCCTTGTGATGCCATTGACTCTTGACACACCTGTTGTGATGTGACAGCTACGCTTGGCCTTCATACCGTCCCAACATGCCTCCCCCAAGCCGGAAGTCATTATTTCAGGCGACAAGGATCATGACCTCCCTTTCTACATCGTCTCAGGTATCCGATCAGGAACACCATGTTTTTAAAGGTACATCTAAACATTATTATTTATTTAATTTTTTCTATCTTTATTTCTTTCTCATATTTATAACTTATATTTGGTGGTCTATCATGAGGCCCTGTTTGGTAAGAATAAAACAAATAAAACAAATAACAGCAGCAAAAACAGCATAGATAAATACACAAGCATATAAATAGGTATAATACAAATCTTCTTTCCCGTGGCGAGCGTCATTTGATTGCGCTATTATATGCGCTAATAAAGTCTGCTAAGGGAATGACCTCATACGCCAGTAATGCCTAACAGTGGGCGCAGTGGTCATTTTGCAATCATTTTTGGACGATCTTACGCTCAAATAGTCCGTCAAAATTCAACATATCATTCTTTATCTGACGTCGGACTGTGGCAGCGGCTGGCGCAGTCGTTGACACGTCACGTGAGAATGGCATCTTTCCAGACGTGAATGTACAGACTGTGTTAACATTGCGTTGATTTACTGGCCTATTTGTTTTAATGCAAAATGATGTAAATAATGTAATTAACGCCACGTGTGCAACGAGTATTGGTGAAAAATACGTCAGACAACCGTCAACTGTGATGCATTCCAATCAAAACCTGCAAACCATTAAGTCTCAGTTGGTAATTTTTTTCGGTAATGTCAAAATAACCGACAGTAGTAGTCATAAAAACCAACATATTCTTAAATGTGTAGTTCCTTATAATGTTGCAAACAATTGGTAGAATTGCAGTAAACTCATGGTAAATCCATGTCAACGTTTTGATAAAGTCTAAAAGTACAATAATGTGAAATCCATTTAACTTGGAGGCATGTTCAGATACAATTCAATTCACAAATTCTTGTTTAAAATAATTAACACATTTTTCTGAGCCTAAAAATATCAGCAAAAGGCAAAGTAAAAGTGGAAAGTAAGCCTAATGGTTTTCAAACCAATAACGAGGTCATCTTTGTAAAAAAAATATGAACACTGTCTGGAAGCCTAGATATTGTATTCAGGGAACAGAAACCTCAAGCGAAAAGCCTGATGCGTATACGTCGATTTGCCACTTATACCTGGCGATATCAGTTAAATTATCCCAAGTTTATTCAAGGTACTCATACTTATAACATGTTTAATGTAACAAAATTTCCCAAATTGTGTCATCCCACATCTGGGCCACGATGTGGTCTCATTCTCCCTCTCACCAAACACCACATGATAGCACGCTCAAATGTAATAGGCACTATATCACAGCGACACCAGTTGAGATAATAGACACATTGAGGTTTTCACTTTTCACTGCATCGCAATTACATTACACGCCTTTTAAATAGATGAAATAGCAGACAAAAGGAAACAAAAGAAAAAGAGAAGATCATAAAAAATAGAAAAGAAAAGAAGAAGGATTAACCCTAGATGAAATAGCAGACAAAAGGAAAAAGGAAAAAGAGAAGATGATAAAAAACATAAAAGAAAAGAAACAGGATTTTTTTTTTAAATACAGCTTAATCGAAAATGAATGTCAGTTATAAGTTCAACAGTATTAATGACCGTCCAATAATTTAAATTGATGCACATAATATGATATTGCAGCCATTAGCAAAGTGATTAAGCGTAATAATGTATGATTGCATCTGTAAGAGGGCTTGCGTTAAAATATTGAACGAAATTTTGGTTGTAGGTTGCCATGGTAAATTTAAGGGCTACAACGTGACAGCCTTAACGAGTAAACTAGTATTAAAGGTCAGCCAAGCGAAATATTTACAGACTTTCTGCTTATACGATCGAAGTGTGAAACATGGTAATAGATACAAACCAGACCTCATAATAATTAATATGCTAATATTTTTATTTGCACCATCGTTTACTTCTAATCATTAATTCAACATGTTTAAACTAATTACTCTTATGAGATACCATCGCACTTGAATCCAACTTGAACCAGATCGAAAAGACCGGAGAAAAATCAACCTAAGGCGAATTCAACAGCCTTCATCCATCACCTTTCAAAACGTGCGAACATCACAATGCTGTAATTTGTAATGCTACGAGTTATACGACAGGGAATTCAAATTGCCTTTCAGTGGATTTCCCGAAAGTTTTCAAGATCGTCTTCAAGTTAGTTTTTCTAAAATGGAGGAATTCTTTTAATAAAGTTACGTGTACTTTTGGAGAACCTTTAATGGGGAGTGAGCAGTGATCTTAACGTGTTATACATAGTCATGTACATCCATTTGACATGTTTGACAATACAAAAGAAACTTTAAATAAAGCATCCCTCTAAAGATAATCTAAACATGAGGAATATATAAAGAATAATATGAATATTTAAAGAATAACTGCAGCATCAATGTCACAATGAGTGACCATCTCACACATACATGACTCTCACATTACTTGCACATCTTTTACTACATAATCTGGATGACCTAAATCGCGAAACTACTATTCGGGAGTAGAACCGCTTACTTGTCGAGTTTTCATCGTTTCCCAATGCATGTTTTTACTTTCGTGTTGGCCTTTTGTCTGCTCTGTTGTTGCTAGGGGTAACCTTTAGACACCAACCTGTCGCTGCAAGGAGAAATCCCTAAAACGACAACCACAACTCCCCAAATCACCAAATATTATCGCTGACCGCCTCCTGTTTCTGCCTCGAGCATAACAAGTCCGTCACCGGAGTAAACTTGTTTTTGTTTATTTACCTTATAGTGTTTCGAGTTCCAACCTCTAGCTATCTTCAGAAGACGGTAAAATGTTAATACACCGCAGGGCTAAGTACACAATCTGCTCCTGGGCATCTATTAAATCTTTAAAAAACTATTTTTTAATAATTTGTCAAAGCAGGCATTTAGTTCTGTTTGGCTGTTAACCTCAAAGGACACAGTGTGTACTTTTAGAATGACTTATTAACAAGCGCCCAATATAAACTAATTATTCATCCTACATTCCTTCATAACCCTAGGCATTTTGGGGCTGTTAAATTATGTCCAATTATAATCACTTTTATCAGAATTCGCCGGATATATTCCTACGTGAGTACATAAGAATAGGGCAAGAATTTATAATGCCTATATGATAAGAACACGTTCCTTCAATTAAAAGGGTGTCGATTGTGAAGACGACTTGCTGTGCCGATACAATTTCCACTTGGTATATAAAGAATGCATAAGCTATCTGCTACTATATTTCAGACGATAACATAGAAAATGCGATTCAACAAGTTCACTCAACTGATCTATTTATTTGTAACAATAATGTTACTGTATCAAGGAATATATAGTGAAAGTGTGCAGTCTGAGAAATATGCCGTTCTTTATTATGCGTGGGTCACAGTGACAAATGTCAGCATATTTTCGATATGTAACCAAAGAAGAAAAATGTGCGAATGTGATGCTAGTAGAGTACTTCTTTTTATAGCAAATCGTGGATGTTCGTCTCTATCTTGTCTAATATTATAGCTGATATAAATGCATTCTTTGCTTCATGATTGGCACTGTCATCTACTAGGCCCACCCGTAGGTATTCATGTCGTCATGGCATGGTAGACAAGAATGTCGTGCTCACGGCAAGTCTGTCTTCTGAACTTATCTTCTTCGTTTATCATTTTGTAGTATTTGTATATTAAGTTTTCATGATGTTGATCTGTCTTAAAATAAAGTCAGATGATTGAAAAAAAACTCAAGGTAAGTTCCACCACAGAAATATGATCAGTGATGATTTTAGCAAGCCAGATGTCATGTATTGCTAAAATTTTCAACATTTGTGAGCCACATCTT